CTTGTTGTTCGTTCACTCACCCCATATATCACACGACCGTCGCTCCCTGAGCAGCGCGCCGGAGCACCGCCCAAAACCCACCACCAACACCATCACTCGAAGGCCTTGTAGTTCAGGCCGTGAACCTAACAGCCGAGACCAGTTCCTCTCTCGGCTACAATCGTTTGACTAGGAAGACAGTTCAAACAGGCGCACCACTTATCCATCCAACACTCATCAACACATTGACGCACGGTAGACACTTTTGGCACGCCCGCGCACAACCGCACCGCACCCAAAAGCAGGAAACCGCGTGTTAACGCACATCCCCTCGGCCCGGAACTCCAGGCCGTGAGATTTGTGCGGCAGACAGGTCAAGGCCGCGGTAGGTGCTCTTGGCGTGGCTACGGCCTGGACACTTGGCCGAGAAAGCACGACAGGTGCCTTCTTTCCCCTGCTAGTCTTAGGGGGGAGGGGGTCCTAGTCTGCATTTTTCAGGGCTGCCCTCACGACCTCTTCAACAGGCCGAACAAACCTGGCTGAGATAAAATCCTCATACCAAGCCCTCCCATCCTCATCCACCGCGTTGAAGTGTCTTCACGGCATCAGAGTGAGGAAGGTCATCCCCTTCTGGAGCTGAAAGGAGATACCGGCCACGACGTGGTTTTGGGCGACGTCGGCCCTCCAGGACGAGAGCCGGTTGGTTGACAGCGGGGGAAGCAGGGCCGTCTGGATCAGACTGAACTGCCGCACCACAAAGTTCGGTAGGTAAATCTCGACCCCAGCCTTGGAGAGGCTACAATGAAGGTCGCGCGCGACCAAGAAGGAGCCCCAGATCTCCTTCAAGTCATTCTCCGTCTCACCATCAGGAATGACGGAGAGGTCGTGCGCCAGGAATAGTGGAAAGGGCCGAGTGAGGCACACACGAAATTGTGACCCAATCCTCTCGGCCGACTCGTAGAAAAATTTGAAGCAGAAGGCCGTTGTGTTATGCTTCCTTGGGCCCGAGCGAATGCGTTGGCCAACGGCTCGGTATCAGCGATTGTCGTCGCTCCCCTCAGCTCTGGGAAGTAGGCTTGGAGCCAGAACTGGAAGGCCCAAAGTGGACCACCGTGCTTCGGCTTCATCCCATCGGTGATGACATCGTGAAGCGTGCGGTAGATATGGCCGAACAGAAATGGGCCCAGCGCTAGCCTTCCACCTTGCGCAAGGTAATTGGCTAGGTGGGCGAACTCCAGGGTCACTTTGTTCGCCTGTGTGCAGAACACAAACTTGCATAGCCAGTATAGCAAGAATGCGGCGTGCTCAACTTCGCCGTGGGGAGCGATGGAGTCGTCGTCGGTGCTATCCTCCACGCCAAAATTGTTGTAGAAGCTGGAGTAGTTAAGCATATTTTTGGCCTTGCTCCTAGCAAGCTTGGCGACTGTGGGCCATGCGGCCTTGAAACTCCCTTCGGCCTCAGGAGCAACCAATGCGGCGTTCACTTCCACACCGAGAGGAGATAGACCGAACAGGGCGGCCATATCAAGAACGGTCGGCATCATCATGCCAAACCGAAGGTTCATGGTATTCGTGATCGATCCATAACAATTGGCCGATCGAACAGCTTTATCAAGTGGTAGATCCCTTGATCCTTCCACTGTTGGCCGAAGAAATGCTCCCTCCTCGGTAGCCACTTCTCCCAGTTTGGGGTCAAGGTTGGCCATTGCTGCTGCGGCCGAGTGACGTTCCACTCCTGGTAGTCTCCCTTGTCAAAAGCCGAGAGATCCACCAAGTTGTCCTTGAGATGGACTGCCAGCCTCTCTGGCATGCCAAAGTCGGTGTCGGTGGCGGTGCCGTCATCATCAGTCCAAGGCACGACAATGTTGGGTTGAACCGAGCCTTAGATTTCTCGGCAGATATCTTCGAATCCAGTTTGGAAGGCTTGGGACCGAGCCTCAACAGACAAAGGG